GTCCATAGTTAGACCTGCGTCAGCTTGCTTTACTGAGCGGTTCTCAAAGTATCGGGTACATCAGAATCACCTGGAGGCCCTGTCAAAACTGGGATTGCTAGACCCAAGTCGTCCCCAGAGCCTCTGACCCAGCAGGCCTGGGCCCAGGCCCAGGTCTGCGTCTGAGAGATCCGCGGTGAAGCTGAGCCCGTGGTCTGAACCAGCCTTTGAGAAGCGTGGCTCTGGTCCAGCGGGTCTCAACCCCAGCCGACGTCACCAGAGGCACATCTAGAAGTAGCAAGGCCGGCATGCCTGTGTGTGCACTCATGCCAGCTGTGAAGTCAGTGCCTGGTGGGCGCGGTTTGTTTAGGGCTCCCCAGGCCGCAGCTGGCTGAGACCTGAGCTGGGAAGTGCTTACAGCGTGGGCAGGTGAAGGGTCCCAAGTCCCACACAGTATGAAGCCCTCAGGCAGTTAGAATTTAAACCAAGAGTAGGGGCCCAAAGCCAATGCCTCCACATGTGCCCGTCCATGGGTCTGCAGGGGCCGAGGGTGGTGTGATACTGTGCCATAGTGATGGTCTGCATCCGCTCCCGGCGCAGAGTCCCTAAACCCTTGGAATTTCCTGAGTGCTGAGTGATAAAGGTGTGTCTTTGTTGTTTGTAACAAACCCTTCAACCATGTCTGAGTCTGTTCACAAGTGACCTTTGGAAAGCAGCTGTGGACGGGGGCTGGTGGCCAGGGGCACTGTCAGTGCCCTCTGCACCGCCACCTCCCGGGCGAGGAGAGGGGCTGCAGGGAACTCATCAGTCATGCCTGGTGATGGAGCCTCCATGAAATCCCAAAAGGACAGGCTTCAGGGAGCTCCCAGATGTGAGGAGAGTGGACTCAGACGGCCTGGAAGCTTATGCCCCTTCCCCACAACCTGCCCTGCGCACCTCTTCATCTGGCTATTCATTTATTATAAAATAAACCAGTAATCTAGTGAGTAAACTGTTTTCCAGTTCTGTGAGCCGCTCTAGCAAATTAATGGAGTCTCTGATCTCTAGCTGGCGCCTGAGGGATGGGGGCATCTTGTGGGATAAGCCCTCAATCTGTAAGATCGCCAGGTAGGTGGTGTCAGAATTGAGTCAAATTTGTGGGATGTCCAGTCAGTGTCCTTGGAGAATTGAGTGAATCGCATGCTTCTGCGGGAAAACCGCCTATACCAGAGGTGGCCCATTGTCCGGGTTTGCCCAGACTGCGGGGCTCCCCAGGAGAAGGGCCTTCGAGGGTAAAACCAGTGACGCTGGTCACTGGGATCTGGCTGCCAACAGCGCTCCCACGCCATTCTGATGCCTCCCTTCCCCCTCCAACGTGTGCCCCGTGCTTGTGCGGGAGCTCTGTCCTGAATTCTGGGTCTGGGCTGTGTGCGGGCTCCATCAAGCCCAGTGTTGTTTACAGCACTGAAAGTGGAGCTCACTCCACCCCCTGCCCAGCAGTTCTGGGGCAGGGGGCTAAGGGACAGTGAGGGCCCACCTGACTGGTGGACTTAGCAGGTCATGTGGGCACTGGGACTGAGCTGGTGAAGAAGAAACTGCTGAAGTACATGATGGTACCCAATGGAGGCTTCATTAAAATAGGCTAAAACACACCAGCTGCATGTTGGCTCACTGAAATGCACCTGCAGCCTAGAAACAAAAGCCACTGAGTGGCGTAGATAAGTGATGGAGGATTTTGACCCTAATCGAGTCTCAAAATCTGCCTTTAAAACAGGAGGTGAATGAGAACACTGCTCGAGCTGGTGGGTACAGCTTGTGATGTTTCTTCCAGTCCACGGGCTCGGGCTGCTGGAGGGGGAGGCATGCTCCCCAGCTGGAGGTCTGGGGACTGGGGGGCCCAGGCGTCATGAGAGAACTCCACCCCCAGCTGTAAGAGAGGGAATATGAAAAATTTTTTAAAAATGCTTTCCCCAGATACTACAAAAAAAAAAAAAGAGAGGGAATATGATTACCGCTGAGTGGGTAGACGTGGATGCAGGGGAAAGACACAGGGACCACACCCAGGGGACCCCAGGTGATGGAGCCGTCTGGGGGAAGGTACCAGACTTCCTTGGGCATACCTGTGGGACATGGTGGGGGGACCTTCTGCGTGCAGACCGCACGTGACGATGCGCTGGCCTGCCCGGGGTCCAGACGGGAGGGTCAAGACCTCACGTGCAGAGCCACCAACATTTACTGGCTGGGAACAGAGGATGACCTGCGGCCCAGCGATGTCTGAAAGCGATTCCGTTTTGTCCCATCTTGGAAAGATCAAATAAAGCCTGTTTCTTTTCCTAGGCATGGAAGGGGCGCTGCTAATTTGGTCAGAGGTTAATCTTTGGCTATTCTGTTTCAAATTTGATGGTTTTCGAACAGGGCAGAAATGAGATGCTAGGTGAGTGGTGGGGTGGTGGGGCTGGGAGCGCCTGTGGGCTTTTGGCAGATGGAAGGACGGATGGACGGACAGAGAGGCATAAGAACCCTTAGACAGGATGAGAAGCTGCACTGAAGCTTCTGAGACACACGGTGAGGCAGGAGAGCGTGCTCATGTCAGAGCAGCTGTGAGCAGGTGGAGCAGGGGGGAGGCCAGCCTGAGTGGGAGACAGAGCGCCCCCCTCAGGGGAACAATCAGCAGCGAGAGTTCTTAGCAACTGAGCAGTTGTGGGCACGGGACACTGTCTGTGAGTCTTGCTCTCAGTTCCGGATCCCATGCTCTCCTTCCTAGTGCACATCATTTATAGTTATACACTGGCGGCGCGGTGGCCCTTCCGTGTGTGTCCGCAATGGCAGAGAACGTGTAAGCTTTTGCCCACCGTTTTCTCAGTGACTGGCACGAGGGGTCCTCCGTATGTGCTTTTGGAATGAATCCACGTTTTTAAATCAAGACTTATGCTGGGAATTTAATAAAGAATTATTTGGGGAGGGGAGGGTACAGCTCAGTGGTAGAGTGTGTGCTTAGCATGCATGAGGTCCTGGGTTCAATCCTTGGTACCTCCATTAAGAAGAATTGTTGTGCTGAACACTGGAATTTGACACAACATTGTAAAATGATTATAAATCAATAAAAAATGTTAAAAAATAAATAAATAAATGTCCAAATGTAAAAAAAAAAAGAAGAAGAAGAATTGTATACTTTAGGGAAAAAATAAGGGCAAATATCACCTGAAAGTGTCTCTATGTTCGTGAATATAGATCCACAAACTGGCGCCCTGCACTCACACCTACCCGCCCCTCAGGTCGGTAACATGCAGGAACGGCAGCGCTGGTGGGGCTGCAGGGGGCGTTCAACACCAGGATACGGCCCTTTCCCTGGGGCCCGGCCCTCCCCACCCTGACAGGCCCTCGCTGGCCGCACCTGGACCCGGGCCCAAACCGAGCCTGCTGAGGTCGGCGGACACTCATGTGTCTTAGTGACCTCGCAGGGACCCCACCACGCATCACACAAGACTGGGCGGCACCTGGTCACCATGACCTCCAGGTCACCCCAGGAAACAGCACGTGAGAAACACACTCACTTTAAACTCTTCCGCCCAGTACCCAAGAGCAGGTGTAGACAGCCGAGAGGGTGACAGACACCCACTTTCCATCTTCCCTGTTCAGGCTCGGCAGCAGGACCCCTGTGGTGGGACTGCCCCGCCACTCCTGTTGCCCCCCCACCCCCATTCTGCAAGCTGCTGGGATGTGGGGCAAGGGCAAGGACAGGGACAGAGAGGGCCTTGCACGGGGAACAGGGGAGGAAGGAGGAAGGAGAACCCTATGCCATAGCCCAAAGTCCACGCAGACCTTCTGAGTGTGTGACAAGCAGGGGTGGGGCGCAGGGCCCAGCTCCCATGGACGGGTGTGTGAAAGTTTTATTAACTTGTTTCTGTACACGAGACTGGAGACAGCGTGATCAATGGGATGTCATTTCATGCTCTGATGAGCTCACATATAAATAAATCTGCACTACCTTCCATCAGACTGCCATGCTAATTTTTACAAAGGAAAACACGTGTCTAACCTCGTAAGATGCAAGCGATTCCTTTTTCAAGGTGCTATAAAAAGTCACGCGTATCAGAGGGAGGAGGCTGTCCCCTCTGATGGGTCCACACAATCATCCGGCCATATCTGTCATTTTGAGGGCAGAGGGAACAGTGGATTTTTGGTTAATGGCGAAGTTGTCAAGCGTTGTCAGCTGTGTCGCGGTCGGCCTGCTGCAGGAGACGTGGCTTGGGGATAGTCCCATCCAGGCAGCTGAGAGGCCTTGTCTTCACTCTTCACCAAGCACCCCTAACTCTCAGCAAACTTGGGGTTCATGACTGTGGTGGTGGCGCTCTTGAAAAGGGGGTTGTCCTGGTAAGGAAAGCAAATGTGACTTAGTGCAGGGGGGCGGGGCGGGGCGGGGCGGGGCTTGGGCGGCTTCCCGCAGGCTCTGGTTAGGGGTCAGCTGCCGGAC